TTTTCTTCTGTCGAGGGCATCAAGCAGACTATCCACCAGGAGCGACCACAGAAGAGGAGATAGTACCCCACCTTGAGGGCAGTCCCTGGTGACCCTGAACCTGATAGCCTCGCCTTGAAGAGTCATAGTTGCAGTTCTGTTTACTAGCATAGCATAAATCCAGCAAGTTATGATCGATTCTATACCTTTTCTAGCGAGACAATCCTATAGATTTAGGTAGTGCATTGTCAAATGCTTCTTCAATATCAAGAAATACAGCAACCACAACCTCCTTGTTATTAAGGGATTGGAAGATTTTCTCAACGAGCTACACTAACTCTTGTGCTAGAAAATCTGCTCTAAAGCACAGATATCAAAGGTGACAAGAATCTTCCAAATAAAAAGGAACAATAAAATATAAAGAGTCAGTTGTGTGATCGTTTCTCGATGGTTGACTGACTAACTGGTTGACTCACATCTTCGAACTAATAACAATCGACCATTTAAACAACCCATTACAAAGACAATCACAGATGGGATTGTTTTCCGCAAAATATGTTAACTAGAACTTGATGACTGAATGAAACTCATTTTTGACGAAATGGCATGGCATGCCATCGAAACGAACAAAACATCTTGATACAAATGATCATCACAGAGAACCATATATTCATATTTTTCAACGTTTCATTACTCATTTTTTCAATAACGTCATCCTCAGCGGATATTAATGCAGTGGTATCCTCTGGATAAAACGTGAGCTCAGCATTTTCAATAAATACCTCAAGGTCAATAATATACAGACCAAAGGGTACCGGACCTAACATGGAACCCTGAGGTACCCAGGCTGTTTGTACACATTCTCTAGTTTGTACGCGTTGGGTATCTGTTTGATTTCTCAGTTCTTTTGTTCATTTTGACATTTCAGTGATGAAATTGATCATTTATATTTTTGAAGAATACTTTTGATTCAAGCAGCACTATTGTCGAGGTGAATTGAAGAACTCAAAATAGGTCTTTTGTCCATTTGGGTAAAAATAATCTAGTCACCTAGTAATCAATTATATTACTAGATATTATATAGTATCTTGGTACGAACAAACTAAAATAGTAATATACATTCATTCATCGAAATATAAATCTAAACCCTATGAGGGTTTCCGTCAATACAATTATTCAACACGTTATAAAAAACTCTGGATAAACACAATATAAAGAAGCAACAATATTCAACAATACATATTTGATATCTAAAAATATGTAACAGTTACTCTAAAGCCATAAATATAGAGCAACATTTCCAACTCTAAATGAGATATCCTCAGCAAATCATTTGTGAATTTATCCAGGACTTATTCACTACATCGATACAGAATATTTTTCCATTCTTCAAGTACCAAATTTCCTTCAAATTTTCCTAATATTCTGAACACGTGAATATGTAAATTGAACTGAATATTCAAGTCCTCTTGAGTAAGACTATATGCCACTGCAATTGAAATGAACTGTCAACAATCGTTTCAATAATGACTAAAATATCACAGAGTGTTCAAACTTCAAGAATAGGTACAGTATGATCAACTGTAAATCTTAGATTGAATCATTTTATCATATAGACGAACTATATTTGTGGCTGTAGTAAAAATTATTGTTTCTCCTGGTCTGGAATTTCAACTTTATCAATTCGTTTTCGTTTTGTTTATCTCCAGACTGCTACACTCTGATGTCTCCACACACAACAAGACAGACAGATGGCAAAAATGGCTCCAAGTAACTGCAACAAAAAAATCAATTATGAAATTCAAATCTGTTCAAATAGGAAAAGTAAACTATACATTGATGGATGTAGCCGTTACTACGTGGTAGGAGATCATAATGAAAAGAGAAATGAAAATTTTTATGTCCTCTTAGATCCTACTAAAATCATTTACACGGAATCAGAGAAACGGAGAACCACCAACATGAAACCCTCTTGCCCTAAACTGTATGGCCTGATGAAACACATAAAGAGGATAACCCCATAAGACCAGTAGTTTCGTATATAAATAGTCCTGTAAGAGAACTAGGAATACGTCAGTGATATCAAAAATCATGGGAAAATACCGTGAACCACCATATCCTCAAATATTTGGAAGGCTTCAACATCTTTAGCGAGTATTAATATGGCTGTGTTAGGTCGAAAACTTTTGAGACTCCCCTCGTAAATGAACAGTTTCCGAAACTTCTCAGAGGAAGATCAACATCCCCCAAAGTTATATACATTCAACAATGATCCTCGGTGCATACATACCTCAGTAGCTGCAATTCCTAATGAAATATATCCAATGATGATGTTGGTACCAACGGTGAAATCAAAAACTGAGGTAAGACATCCTTCCGAGTATCGATCTGGAGAGTCGATACTGCATGGCACCCTTGATTCGCAACAAGATGGAGGTAACTCATAGCCGTTGAGTTTTGTTGCATCGACAAATCTGTATTCTTCAGCTGGTTGCAGAATTCCACAGCAAGACATCTGTGAAATAATGTTTTGGAATAAGCGATACAATTCAAGTTGTGATGGACTCAAAAAAAAGTACGCAACTGGAGCTTCTTCCCAACACCAAACCATTATTTCAACAACGCAACACATGTTTCAATCTCCAAGTGATCAAACTGAGTTTGATCTTCCTCTTGATGGTGATCACTTGGTTATCGAAAAACGAATCGAGGTATTGAAATAACGGTTTGGTGTTGGAAAAAAACTCCAGTAATATTTATTACTACACCAAAAGTTCCAAGCAGTGCATGACAAATGAATACTTTTGTTGCAATCTTCTATGTTCAATGAGAATAATCCTCAGTAGAAGCAGATTACAAGATGATTTGGTTGTTTTGTAATCTGATCTTGAATGATCTACAAGTAAATACTAATATAAAGAATCGTAGACATAGGAAACTCCATCGTCGTTATAGATGCATATTTTTATGAGAAGATCGAAAACATTGTTCATTAATGAATGTTTTGTGGAGTTCCATCCTTTCCTGGGGAGAAATATTATCGATATATTGAAATAGCATCATTTTCAGTTTTCAGACTTAGTACATTAGAACTGCAAAGATTGGAATGTAGGAAGTATTTTATGAACCAGTCATTTCTTGATGATCTAAACTTGGTTAGTGAGCCAGTAATTCGTTTGAAGGTGGTTGACAAGGCATCATCAAAAATGAACTTCAACGGAATGGTTACTCCGAAGTGATGGTAGAACAGGCTTTAGCTAGAAGACAGCAAGAGCCTCACAAGGAAGAGAAGCCGCCACAATCAGTACATCAGAGGATTATCTGAAAGAATAAGGAGAATTGAGTCCAAGTATACCATAAGAACCTGCTTCAGATCTGGGAACTCTATCCGTAGCAGCCTCACAAAAACCAGGTCACCAAACGCGGACTGGGATTCCAAGAATTGCATTTACCGGATACCCTGCGAGTGCGGAGAATCATACATCGGTGAAACTAAGAGGCCATTGAAAGTTCGCATTGCTGAGCACAAAAACCACACACAGCGAGGAGAAATCAGCAAATCCGGCATAGCAGAGCATGTTTGGACTCATCAACATAACATCAAGTGGGCTCAAGCTGAAATTATCCACAAAGAGGAGCACTGATTTAGGAGAAAATTCAAGGAAGCCGCGTATATGTTGTTCAACAACGCATTTAGTCACGCTAGCGTAGAGATACGTAACATATGGAAACTTGTAATCAAGCGAAAAACGACCAACTTCCGCCAAACGGTCGTCTCCCGCTAAAACCAATGAAGCGGAGAAAGGGAAGAGGGGATCGGTGAAACCACTCGAATGACCTATAAATAGTCAGATCTCGGAGGAATAAGTCCAGTTATCACCCGAAGGCGATTGTGGATACTAACAATCGAAACGTCGTTCTGGTGTGGAAAAAGTATTTTTCCACACCAGACCATTGTGGAGCGGACCTCTTCTGTTAACTACTGCCGGCTGCTGCTAAAACATTCTCAGGTACATTTCGTCAATTTCCACACAAGGACTTTGCTGTGATGATTTGGCCCGGTTGCAGAAAGTTATAGTGAATCACACCATTCACATAATACCATACAGTAACCATGGTCTTTTTCTGAAGGGTTTTCACCCTTGGTAAGTGCCTGCGTGGCTCCAGCTACTGTCCTAAACATCTCTTGTTGTCGTAGAGGATCTACTTTTCGTCACTACGAACCAAGAAAGTATCGTTTTGGTTGCGCAAAAGCCAACAAGGAAAACCCGCGAAACGTGACAGTATCTGTCAATCGTTGAATTCATGGAGCACCTCCTTTTAGAGCTTCCTGACCTCCTCAATATTTAAACTGCATAGAAGCTAACAGTACTTTCTTCTGCCATACCGCGCACCGTTTGTGATGGGTCTGTCTCCAGCAGGGTCCTCAAATACTTGACATGGATTACTGTAGGTTGACCACTTCGTGAGTCATCTCCGAGGCTTGAATCTCTGGAACGAAACTTCACAAACCGACGTCGAACAATGCGTTAATTGATACCATCATTGCCAAATGCCTGATTAGTTTTTTGCTGCTTCGTAGCGCTTTGGTCCAATTTGAATTCGTAGAGAAGAATAGGCCAAATATCAGTTGTGGAGCTAAAAAGCAGATGACATTAAAACGGGTGAACCTTTTGAAACAACTCAAGACATCCACTTTCAGCCATTTGTTCCGGAAATAAAGTACATGTTGATGCTAGTACAAATAACATAAGTTTGAAAGAGGATTTGTGAGGTATTGAACCTAGAAATTGTAATGAGAAATCTTGCAAAAACTATAGTCCAACAGTACAATATCGATAATTGAACTAGTTCTCATCGAAAAGTATAGAGGAATGATGAAATTGGTTCTGTTCCTAAAATATTCATTGCCTTAGTAATAGCTCCAAATTGGTATCGGGGCAGTAGAGTATAGTAGTAGAGATATGTTCCAGTTCATAAGGTTTCTGACTCACTCCACTGTCACAAGTACATTCAAAAGCATTCAGTTAACATCAACCTATTCCTGAATGGATACCCCGAACGTAAGCTACATGCTCAGGTAGCATGCGTTAGGAGCAAACACCAAGACACCCTTAGGTGCAAAATTAAGAGCTATGCAGTACAAATAATATCCAAATGATTCGATTACCCCATTTACTCTCACATATACTCACCCAGTCCTGTATTTCGTCCAACCCAGCGTTTTCCAGCTTCATCCTCAGGTCATTTTCGATTTGGTGCCTCAGAGCCCTTTGTTCGGTGTTTTTGTAAACAACAATACAATAGCCTCCAAGAGCGAAGTGAGCCATGGCCAACAGGATGAGAAACGAAGCGTACTGGAAAGAAAAGAAAATCCAATTAACATCCATATGAATTGCGCATTCTGCAACAGAGGTCGCTTTTATCGTTGCTGCATTGCCTACAATAAGGTATACCGCAGTCGCACACGGGATGTTTGACCCTAAAACCTGCGGATCACGGCTACTGAGCCCAAAAAGGGCAAATAATCAGGAGATGATGAGTACCTATATTTATTTCTTCAGACATAGTGGTTTGAAAATTCCAATTATATCTACAGTGTGTCTCACTTCTCATGGAAACACTCCCATATCTTACATATTATTTGAATATTACGGAAGATAAGAAGGTGTTTCCATAAGAAGTGAGACAAATTCGGATTTTTCAGGACTTGAATTTTTTTCAGGAAAAAATTGTAATCGTAGTAAGTTGGTAGTCCTGATCACGAATCTGAAGGAATTTTGATCCTATTTTGTCCCCTAATATGTTTTACCGTAAAAATGGGCTGCTCCATCCCGAGTGGCGGACAGTGTATATCACTTTGGCCAACCCCATTCAGGTGGTAGGTGCATTTTGAGCATATCCATCAGTCCAGAGAGTTTCATCGTTCTACCTCGAATATTACGGAAGATAAGGGGGTGTTTCCATTAGAAGTGAGGCACACTGTATATATGCAACCTGTTTCAACGTGTTCATATAGACGACTAAAATTATTAGTGGTAAAAGACACAAAGTTGTTTGAGAGAAACTTGTACTGGCCGTGAAATTGTATGTAAACAGTACCAAAATTGAATAGTACTAATAGCTAACAGTACTAAGAACAGTTTACGCTTAAAGAGTACTGGAAGTGAATAGTGAAAATGAATAGTAAAAGTACAAACAGTACTGACCGAACAATAAAAGGAACAAGAGCTTTCTGTAGTTGAAAATGTATGTCAGTCAATCCGAATGGTAATGTTTTCGTAAACAAATGATATATTTTCTGAAATGCTCCATTCCTGCAACCTGTTTCAACATGCTCATGATATAAGGAAGTAGAATTATTAGTGAAACAGTAAAAGAGATCACTATTCCAACTATACCTATATATGAAATATCACCAACATTGAGAGATTCTGTTTCATTGGAAGATGCTTTATATGCAAAATGAGTGACCTTCTGGAAAGCCAAGTTCCGTCCTATTAAAAATAACTGTACCTCATCGTAGATAATTGAACATGATTAAAATTAATTAGGCCTGCTATGTTGATATTTTATATAGTGTGAAGTCCTGTTTCCCTTGTGAACTGTTGAACGAAACGTAAGACAAAATGAAGTTTGAATGGTATATGCCAATCATTCGTTTGAGAATTGAAAGATAGCCAATATCATTACATAAGAGGGATATTGACTGTATAATCTTTGATGACCATGTCGCTATTCGATATGAAGATGAGGTATGTCGATACACTTCCATAGATGGCTAAACCTATTCCAGCAATCTGCAAGAAGAGAACGGAAAGAAAATCAAGTTTGCCCAAACTTCAATCAGACATGACAATGAGGAAAGCGATATATACACCGAGAAATAACTACTTCCTAGGATAATACCAGGACGGACTTTCGTGTAACATGTTTTCATATTCTTCTATGGGGTAATAATTAGAAAATACATTCATGTCCATTTTCATGTTATGATGTGTATATCACTTCCTTCGTTAGCATTTGTATGATTTAATGGTGCAGTGTTGAGTTTATTGGAACAGGTGTTTGGGGATTTCACAGATGAAACATAAGAAAGGTGAGTATCAAATTGAAAAACAATAGTACAAGAAGTAAGAGTACTGACCGGACAGTTGAAGAAAGAGAGCTTTCTATAGTTGAAAATTTATTTCAAAAAAATCATCAAAACATCAGTTATTTTGAATGATGTAATATTTGTCATAAACAATTTATATATTTTTCAAATGCCTCATTCTTGCAATCTGTTTCAGCGCGATCATATATAAGAGTAAAATTATCAGTGGTAAAACACACATAATTGTCTAAGAGAAACTTATACTGGCCATGAAAATATATGTAAACAGTACTAAAAGTAAATAGTACTAATAGTTAACAGTACTAAGAAGTTTGTGTGTAAAAAGTACTGCAAGTAAAAAGTGAAAATAAAAAGTACGAGTACAGAAAGTACTGATCAAACAATAAAAAAAAACTCTCTGTTGTTGAAAATTTATGCTGAAAAAATTAGCAAAGCATCAGTCAATCTGAATAAAGTGATATTTCCAAAATGCTCCATTCTTGCAACCTGTTTCAACATGCTCATGATATAAAGAAGTATAATTTATTAGTGATAAAAGAAAAACTTGATCTGGCCGTGAAAATATAGGTAAACAGTACTGAAAAATGAATACTACTGATGTTAAACAATACATGAAGTACTTTTACAAGAACAGTGTGAGTGTGAGTGTGAAAAGTTCTGAAAGTAAAAAGTGAAAAAGGAAAGAAAGTAAAAAGTTGAAGTACAGAAAGTAAGGGTATAAGAACTGGGAGGATACAGTTGAGAATTTGTTTCGAAAAAATTAGCAGGGCATCAGTCATTCAGAATGATATGAACAAATCTTTATGAACAATTTTTTTAAATGCCTCATTGTTGCAACCTGTTTCACCGTGTTTACATGGGAAAGTGAAATTATTAGTGGTAATGTCTCAAAATTGTCTAAGTGAAACTTGTTCTGGCCGTGAAAACAGTACTGAAAGTAAACAGTACTGATAGTAAACAGTACAGAAAGTACCTTTACAAGAACAGTTCTCATATATAAAAATATTCCAAAATAAAAAGTGACAAAATCAAAAACTAAAAATGAAAAATGAAAGTACAGAGAGTAGGAGTGAAAGCACTGGCCGAACAGTAAAAGAAACCGCTCTCTGTAGTTATAATTATATCAGTTATAATTCGACAATGCTGAAACCCAAAAAAATCTGATCGATTTTGGTTATTGACGTTGGAAACTAAATTGTTTTTCCCCGAACGATAATACATTTAACGAATGTTGCAACCTGTTCCAACGTGAACATGTACGAAGCGAAATTATTAGAAAAAGTTTGAGTCCTCACCGTAAAATGAAACAGATAAATCCCGTGGATGCACCTCAAGACAACCTCACTACACCCCATCTCGATACCGATTCGCATTTGTTTTTCGGCAAAACCTGCCGCGACCGTAATGGCCCAGACTAGATGTCTGCGTCGCGCCTAAAGGCTAGACCTGGAGGAGGCAGAAAGACCCGAGACGCAGTTTACAGAAATGAAGATGTGGACACGATAAGAATCATAGCTAATGATAATGTTGCCCGAAAAATGGGATACACGAAAAATATTGCCATGATTTTTCATATCTGCGTATTCATGGTCAATCAATGACACATTCAGCGCCAGAATTCTCAATGCAATGTTGCAGAAGGTCGTTTAAGTTCAAAGCAAAATGTCTAGAAGCCGCCTCAGTCATGCAGTTGAAGGTAGTCAAGGTTGGGTTGTGATTCAAGGTTGTTTGAAAGTTAAACCCCAAAAACTACTCCAAAGTCATCTTGTCTCCGTTGTTTGACGTAGTTCAAGGTCATTCGAAGTCAAACACGAAACACTCTCTCAACTGAGCTGTGTTGTACCGTGTAGGTTCAAAACTTCAAGGAAGCCGCGTAACTGGCTCGAGATCATTCGAGGTCAAATTCACCCTGTCGAGAATATGGGAAGTGGATGAAGTTCATTCAAGGTCAAACTCAAAACACTCCCTCAGAGTTGCTTTGTCTGCATCATGGCCAAGGTCGTTCAAGGTCGAACACCTTAGCTATATTGTGCCGTATAGGCTCCAGTTCATCCGAAATCAAATTCACCTGGCCTCACATGACCAAGCTCCAGAAACTGCTTCTCCATTTTGCTCATTGTTCTCATGAAATAGGTGAGCTACTTCCTGTTGTGTTTGGGTTTTATCTCCGTAACCAATCGTTTGTTAACTGTTATTTTATGCATTTCCGTTAATCTACATGGCACCCTTGATTCGCAACA